GTGGATTAAAAAGTAGCCTATGGCAAGAAATAAAACTCTCTGTTGTTTGAAAGTCTATAGAGGAGACAATTTCGATCCCTTGGTAAACACCTACATCTTTACAAGTTATGTTGACAATTTGCAAATATCTACCAAAAACCAAACGACAAACATGATGTAAATTAACATTTTAACTATCCCAACATGAAAAAAATAACACAAAATTAACACGCCTTATTGCACGAAATCAATGCTACAAACAAAATTTAATAATGTCTACTGTAGACACTGTAATGTCTACAGAGCAGTAGTTCCATTTCGCCAACGAGATCTCAAATTTTCATCAGGCGCATATTGTATTCTGGAGCTCCAGCGTTGGATCGTTTCCAAAGTCGCCGTTTTACTCGTCCCAAGGGCCAAATAGTATCCAATTCCAAGACTCTTTCCATGTTACTGCAATTGAGGCACAACTTATACAATTATCCTACGATTGCAACTTTCATTTATCCTAAATTGAATTTAGTTATAAATCTGAATGCTCAGTTATAGGGGTTTCCACTTACAACTTTAGTAAATCACGATTAATTAACTCAAGTTGTTTATTATATTCGAATTTTTCATAAATGATTACATGGGAATCTTAACAGTATTTTGATCAGTGAAAAGTTACAAAATCATAAAATTCCTCCAGTCATCGCTCTGGAATAAAATAAATTAGCTAAATATTCACGAAAAATAGTGTTTGCATATAGAACGCTATGGTTAATTTAAAAAGAATCCATGTCAGAACTTGGAGGTTGCAGTACTTAAATGTTTCGTCTGTAAAAAATATCTCTTAAAAACAACTTTAATGCTGTTTTTGCTCAAAAGTGGAATCAATATTCTCTAAAAACCCCATTGACTTTGGATATTCCAGATAAGCCTGTTTTGAAATGAAAGAATAATTTAACACAATTAAACCAAACTGTTTTTTTTTTTTTTTTTACATTTTACGAAGTTTTGTTTAGTTGATCACACAAACAGAAAGAAGGAAAACTAAATGATCACAACTAAAAGAAGCATTTTACGTATACATATTCCTTAAACCGCACTATATTAACTAAATGCCACACTGGTTCCATTTTCCATTACAAACCAAACAATATTTCTAGTAATCCAACAGACGGGGTCAACATCTGAGAAATACTCCAAGATATCACGCGACGTGTGCATTTACAAGGGTCCCTAAATATATTCCCGACTCGTTTCTTGTTTGCGATGAGGATAAAATAATTCTCCCCTCGCGATTCAAGCTGATTTTATCACCAATGTTCATATTTCCACTCAATTGTAAAGAGAGGTAGTAATAATAAAACCTCGATAACGAGTCACCCTTAACAAAAAGTGTCATTTTTAAAATAGCCTTGAATTTAATTTTTAAATCTAGCGATTCGGGGAGCAAGCTGGAGTAGTGGTAGAGCGCGGGTCTTCGGTGCCCAAGGTCCCGGGTTAAAATCCTACTAACCACCAAAGGATTTATATCTTGTGATAATGCCGCAACCTACTAGGACTAGTGATGTTGGCCGGGTAAATACCCAGTGGGTAGGTAAATATAAATTGGGTATTTACCCGGGAATTTACCCCAGGCCCGGGTAAATACCCAAAAAGTGGGTATTTATAATTTTTATTAAAGTTAGAGAAGATTGAGATGTTTTTTTGCAATTATCACCCTGTAAGGATAGTAAAATGATGATAAAATGTGTTAAACAAAATTTCATATGGTCACTACTAGCATTTTACTTCTGGGTACAATCGCCATAAATACCCAGGTCTGAGCATTAAGCATAATCGGCATAAATACCCTGGTCGCATGGTTGCACTGGTCCTGACTACTTATGATTTTTTAATTTCTATGATGGATAGATGAATTTATTTTATTGAAAGTGAAGAAAAATAATTTGCGAAGTAATAATTATTATTTATAAATACATGAAAATTTAACCAAGTAGTGGCCTAGGCGTGTAAACAACTTAAGAAAATACTTAAAATTCAATCTGTAGGATGGCAGGATTTAATAATATTTTTGTTCTAGATCTTTTGTTGATATCAATGGTATCAAAATAAAAAAAACTAATTTCATAAACTTGTGATAGGTACAAAACATTTAAATCTATAGCACAATAAATCTTTCAAAACTATATTAAGTTAGACCAAAAACAGGAGATAAATTTTTTTAGTAGGTTTATCCAAATATTCCAAATATATTATTTTTTCCAACCAAGCGGCAACACAGAAAATTGTAATTACTTTTAGTATTCCGCCATTCTGCCTTAGGTCTGTCTAGCCTTCCAAGCCATTTATACGATCAATTTTTTTAACTATAATAATTTAATAACAGTAGAAGTAGGTTAAGTTCACTATTTCTCTGATGAGGTGTTGCCTTGATAAAAAACAAAACCCCATTCTTATTTAAAAACTTTATGTTTTATTTTTTTTTAAGTGCTAAATCATTAAATAAAAGGTACTAGTAAAGCTTCAAGTTACTGTAAAAGGTGTGACTATCCTAATTTTTCATGTAATGATAACAATAACATATTTAGGGGTGAATATAAATTAATTTCAATCGATTTTATAAATACCCAAAATACCCGGGTATTTATGGATTTTGGGTATTTACCCGGGTAAATACCCAGGGTATTTACCCTGAGTTTTAAATACCCGGGTATTTTACATCACTAACTAGGACGCATGAAACTCAGTTTTTGTAGGATATTCCTCTCAACACAGTTGATTCTATGAACATTAGCCGAAAGATCTTAGGCTACTTCTTCGTTTGCATGCGTGTACTGTAGTTGGTATCCATCAAGATCAATCTGAGTCAAAAGCTTAAGTATACGTCAACGACCGCGGAAGAATTACTTTTATGCTTTTGCAACCGCATGAAACAAGTATATTTTTCTTTCGTCGATCCTGCTTTACCGATTTGTTTTAAAAGATTTTAAAATAAACTAGCTTCATGTATACAAACATCTCACATTAATAATACAGTAATAATAAGTAAAAATAAATAACCAAGCGAAATTAGGTCAGAAGTTCCAAGCTACTACTTATAACGTAGCCAACGTGGGATATAAAGTTCCCGCAAATACTTTATATTGATTTTGTGATCAAGTCACATTAATCTTATGACCCAATAAACTTTGCAACATTCTTCAAACTATCGCCTGTGTTCACTATCACCACTTAACCGTGGGTTATCAGTGCTAGCTAATACAAATTATTTAGTTTGCAGTTGGAATTAAGAACATAAAATAAGTGAAAACTCGGTGATCAATATTTACTGGGATGATGAACAGTATGTGTACCAAATCATACAAAGAAATGTAACGAAGTTATTATTAGTTTCAAGCCGAGTCTTCAAAGATTGACGAAATAACTTCAAGAAAATTGCCAACTTTTTGCATTCAATTATTTAAAAAAGATTTTAAAACTTGTTATAGATTTTGAAGACGTTCCTACCACCATAATTAACTTGTCATAACACACGGATTGATTGACCTTTTAAGTTGGAAATAAAATTTCACGAATTTTATGTTTGAGTTTGCTTTTTGATGTAATGTCATTTGCTTACCAGATGTTGACGTGCCGGATCCGCGGCCGAAGTTTGTGTAGAACCTGTGGAATCAGCTGATTTAGCGAGCGGGAATGACCCATTCCCGCTCTAGAGCGTAAATGAGCTATTTTGCGCACTGTTTACAGGTGTGGAAATGTGGTCGTTTCCATGCAGTAGTAAGAAAAAGAGTTTTGTAAAACCGTAGTCGAAAATCACTCATCACTTTGTGTCTTGGAAATCAATAACATTGGAACCGTCTTGGAATACGTTCCTGAGTAGAATTAATGCAGCACCTCCGTGAGAGCTCTGCCGGTTGATCTAATCTGGGTAGGTGCTACTCCAGGAAATTAATTCAAGCAAGTGCGGATTAAAATAGTCCCTAGACATAACACGGTGGGGTTGAAACTCAGCGAATCAGTTTTTCCTCATTTTCATTTTAATCTCATACACATTTAAAATATTTACACATTTCCCCCTGAAACGCTAATCCACAATATTTAGCTCAAGCCTTCGACAGCTGTTTAACACGAGGTCGCAGGCAGGTGTGTTTAAGTTCCCGCTACAACGCCAGTAGCTATCTTCAGCCCCGCCTCTGTGTTAATATTCAGAACCAAGTGGCAAATTACGCAGTATCGGCCGTGATTACCAACCAATCGCTAAACATTATTTATCCCTGACCGTAAAACCAGATGATTGGGATTGATTGGGAAATGTATGTTTGATAGTCAACTTCAATCAATTTTGCATTCATTACATAGCTGAGAAACAACAATGTTTGAACGTATTCGAGGTATTTTAGATAGCCACACCTCAAGGACAAGATTGACTCTGAACTCCAGTCTGGCTCTCAAGTACCACATTCTAAAAACGCTTTCGCATCACGGCTGGGTGAACCACCGGCAACACTTTTCAGAAACCACTGCTAAGTTTTAGGCTCGAAGGGCCATCAAGTCAATTTTGTACAACGAACATGTTTAGGCTTCGGCTTGAAGATTGTTATAAAACTTGTGTTCATAAATTACGTCTAGCTAAGAACGCACTGGGTCGGGTCGATATAGACGGGGAAAACAATTTTTTTTCTCAAAAATGTTTAGCATTGATTTGCCTATGTGCGTTCGCAATAGGCCGTTACGGTCGGGACAGGACCATCCGCAACTTCCGCCCCCGAAAGAAAGTTCAGAAAAATATTTCTAGGACATGCCGATGTGCCGTCTGCAGCTGCAGTGCGCGCACGTCTTTTGGTTCGGAAGGTACGGACGTTTTGCCTTTTTATGACATAGTTTTCAGCACAAATGCTAGGCGAAGATTATGGAGGTATCTATTGTCCGTCCGTCCCGTGCCATTCCAACCCAGAGCGCGCTTTGCAGGGGCATTGAATATTAGCGTTATATAATCAATGGCTTAAGCTAGATAACAGATTTGCACTTACAACTCCTCCCTCTGACGCTGCGACAACACCATTTTCATTTCTCCTGCGTGTGTCTGAGTCTGCGACGATGGGGAAGTCTACAGCCGGGCGGCCATCACTGCAACAAACAAACAAAATATTAGATTTGCCTATTGGGTCTGATGATGATTGGAGTGTCCAATCGAAATCGATCACCACTTACCATCTTTTGTAACCGCAGGGGGCTCACGCTTGCGTGGGTTCGTGGCCTGGGCGACCACGCGGACCCTAGCTCTCCCAGAGGGGAGGTAACTGCCCGGTGTCAGACCCGGCACTTCAGGTAGACCACAGTTATGGACGACTGGTAAGCGCCAGCCCCTTAGGGGGAGCCTCCAGTGACATTCCCTCCATTCAGGGTGGGGGGGGTGTTTAGCTCTCAGTGACGCCGTTAATTCCGCCTCTCCTCAACTACCTGTAACTGTGGTTGTGACTGAGTCCTACCTGTTGTGTTCGACTGACATTTTGTGAGGCATATCCTCGACTTTGGAAGTAGCCTCGTCCTGGGAGGTGAAATACCTAGCCCCCAGAGGGGAGGTAAATGCTCCGTGTTGGTATCGGCATTTCAAGTTGGCCACAGACATGGTCGACTGGGCACCGGGTCCCAGTGACATTCCTTTATCCAGGATGGAGGGGTGTTTAGCTCTAGGAGAGATGGAAGTACATCATAATCTCTAACCTACCTGTGTCTGTGGTACTTTGGGCTTCGGCCTGCTTGTGGTGTGCGACCAGCATTCAGTGGGCAAATCCTCGACTTTGGAAGTAACCTTTCCTGGAGGTGAAAACGGGCAAGTACCCGCAGCTCACGGGGACACTCAAGGGCAACGTAACTTTCCGCAGTGTGAGGGCAACGGTTTGTAGGTACTTATGCAAACCTATCCCTGTCTCTGAGCACGGACGGTATGGTTATCTTGAGTGTGGGGGGTTCTTCCCGGAACCTCAATTGAGTCAAGGGTGTCGCCACCTCTGGTGGATAGGTTCATCCGGGTGGGTCCCACTTCTATACCTGCCTCCTTTTGGGAAACCCTGATGGCCTGGCAGTGATGTTGGGTCTGACGGGCAAACGAAGTAGATCGGGTGCTGGGTCCGAGCCCGCCAGGGGTATCTGGGGATCTATCGCTCTGGATATCTCTGGTTCCCAGCAATGGGTCAGGCCTCGATCGGGCAGCGGTGTAAATGGGAGGTTGGGGTTCCCCCCGTCAGCGTGCTGATGGTCCCCTTCCTCCTGGCTATTGATGGCGGGTTCTGCCTGTCAGGGATGAGATAGGTCCCGAGTGTTGCTTGCACTAAATGCGTCGGGGCGCTCTACTATGGACCTCTAGGTTCCGACCTAGTGGAACCCAGGTGGAGTGACGCTTAAACAAGCAGCCGGAATCCCTGGTTAGGATTGAGGGGCAACCCTCTTTCCGAAGGGTCTGCTTCGGCAGCCGGCGAGCCTGATGACCTTAAGTCATCCGCCCATGATGTGCTAAAGGTTGATGCGTAAGCTTCGGCCTACATCATGGGGCCCGGGTATGTCCTGAAGGATAGGTACCGGGTAAGCAGTCAGGGGGCTTCGGCTCTCATGACAACAAATAATAATAATAATAATAATAATTACCATCTTTTGTATATTTACCGTCTTGTGAGTAACACTATAAGCGTAAATATATGTTTTAAGTGTTATAAGACTATCTTTATTTACTTTCCGTATACTTATACACCATACCTTTTCTAATATTCTTAAACTAACACTCCAAGTTCTAAAGTACATTCAACACACCAAGTACTTCAATCCAAAGCAAGACCCGTCTTCAATGACGAATTGAAAACACGAGAAGGCCATTGTACGCAACAATAGCTCAGTTACAACACTCATTCACAGACGGACTGTTTTGTCTAGTTATGACAATGAGCCTGTTACTGCATTCCACCATTCCAGTCTCCGTGCTGCACGTTTGTGTCTTCGTGAGTTTGGTAAATCAACAGACATTTCAGTACAATCTGTTTGGTGTGTTACACAACCGTTGTGTACAGTTTTGTATGGTTGTGTGTAAAAACATATATATTAAAAAGTTAATCTAACCCAGGTTCAAATATTGTTTCATTACATTTTTTTATTGTGTCGATTGTCTTTAGTTCTTCCCGGTCTAATGTACTTAAAGAGCGAAAATCAATCAACAAAATAAAAGGTAACTTAACATATTACTTTATTGTTTTTATGTTAGAACTGTTTTTACGGAATTTTCCACATAGGAAAAGCTAAGCAGTAACAGTACCGTAAGTCTCGTAGTAAGACCTGGATGCAGGATCGATTTGCTTGTTCGTTTTGATGTCCCCAGAGGCCAATAACGTTATCAGTTCAGATCCATTTATATAGTTTAGTAGGGAAGGCTTACTTTGTTAATTTGTTTTCAAAATGTATTTATTAATATTTATATACATGATCGACACAAGTAAAAAAACATCCGATTTTGATTAAATTTCCAAGATACAAATATGTAAACCTACATTTATTCGAACGAGTTCACGAACCAGCACGATTAAACTATAAGAACGGGGTTTTAGGTGGTAAATATTGGGGTTTAAATTGTTTAACCCTGAAACATAACATTTTGAAATTCTTTCTAAGCCATTTTCGAATGATCAAAAACAAATAATTTAGCATATTTTACCGTTGTTGTACAATTATTCAAACATTTGCAACCAAGTAACCTGTGTTAGTGCACAAATTATCAAATAAAAAAACAAAGGTCCTTTGCCGTTTAAAAATACCGATAAAAAGCAAAATCAACATCCATAATGGCGAAGTTAGCGATTCTCAACGAACTCTGACAATGCTTCATCTGGGTTGTCGAGTCAAGCTGGCCCATGTGGTATAGTCTGTATGATGGAACCTGTCTCATAAACCTAGGTCTACCTGGGAGTGGCCCAGGCCATAAACCATTGGTTACCCATGCAGACGGGGCGTCAGAAAAAAGGATACACGCTGAAGAGGACATGGTCATAGAAAAAACATTATTCCGGTGGACCGTCGACTCCCTGGGCTGAAACATCATGAAACAGACAAGACAGGTTCCATCATACAGACTATAGTGCTCGCAAAAGACAGTCCAAACCAAATGACTAACCAAACCTAACCTAACCAAATGACGCAGTAAATTACCTACAGAGCGACGTTAAAGATTATGAACGACGTAATCCAAAGCCCGTCGACAGATCTCGACATAATCTCGATGCCAAAACGTAGCAAACTGTTGCCAGAAACGTAGAATGTGTGTAAAGAGTTAAGGTAGTCGGACGGGTTCATACATATTGATGTTCCCCGACAACAGCACTGACCTCCGCGATCGCCTGATAAGGAAGGCTGTCCAAGGTCAAACTGATAACATTATGTGGTGGAGGGGGAGGTGTTACCTGATTGTACGATACAGGGTGTTCCCTCTCTACCAACCTAAGGTATTATTTCTTGGTCCTTAACAATTTTATCACATTTAAATCGTATGTAAGTCGTAAGAGCCGCCATTTTGTGTTTTTTTTTTTCAAAATTACTGTTTTAATAACCGTAATAGACCTAGGCCTAGGCGATAGGTACTTAGAACTTTAAAATTTCACATGAAGAATCTTGATACTTGTCTCACCAACTTGTGTGGAAGAATCAACATGTTCTAATGTAAAAATTCGAAATTGCGCCTACTATAATAGTTTTTAACAAAAATATCTACAAAATTAAAAAAAAAACACACAATAATCTTATTTTATTGGGAATAGGGTTCAAGCCAAACGTAATAACACCCCGACATTTAAAATCCAATATAACATTACCGATATATGAATTTTTTGTGGCACGCGCCTACTAGTGCTTATGAAACTATCATATTGAAATTGTTGAAGACGATAGGGCTGGCATACATTGGCCTACACTATACTCCGTTCATACAATTTAGGCAGTTTTGAAGAATCTACTCCATCCACGTCTTGATCCTACCATTAAACATAGTCCTTAACAGATAATTTTTTTTCAAAAACACATATCAAATGCAACATACAGCAGAAAAAGGTTGTGGGGGAACTTCCCCTCATATATTGTGGACGAACCAAAATAGGCGTGCACCACAAAAAATGACTACTACTGCTAAAGAACAATAGTCAATACCCCTCCGTGTGACTGTCGTCATGAAGACATTCCAGTGCAGTGTGCAGATAAGCTACGTAATGAGTCGTCAGTGTGAGTGTACAGACAACAGACAATGAGCGCGATCTAGAGGCAAGTGAGGTGAAAGCGCTCCCACCATTGTCTGTGTATCGTCTGCGGCACTTCGGGCCCAGTTTTTATATAGTGGCTGTTTAGAATAGCGAAAAAGAAAGTCGGGTATACGTAAACTATGTGGAACTAAGTGCACTTCCAGAAGTGCACTTAAGAGAGATCTCAGCTGGTACTGTGGTGAGGCAGTGATGAGAAAATGGTCTAGTTGTTAGGACGCGGAACTTTTATCCTAGAGAACCAGTAGTTTTCTAATGTACCTATCTGGAAAAAGCAGGTCTCAAGCAAGAACTTTTTCGTATTGAAACCACAAATTTTGATTGCTGCCGGAATAAAAAAATTGCATCACGTATTTGAAACACTCCACTTATAATTAATTATCAAAATCGATAATATATAAAAAATCTATTTGCGTATTAGGAGCGCAAAGTACGTCATTGGCTCTCTAGGACTTCAGATGGCCGCACTAGTGATCGTTGGACCTCACGAAGCTTTATAGCTGAGTGCGGTAAACGTTTCGAGATCGGCAATGGCTGTTTGTGCTCGTACATATACAACAAGATTTTACCATTACCATGATTAACTTAGGTGTCATAACACACACAGATTAACCTTATCTTATAGTTATATATATGTAATTTAGGTTACGTTTGCTTTTTTATGTTTTTTTTTTTTTTTTTTTTTTTTGCTGTACCGTCTCCACGGTAACTGCCAACAGTGTGAATGTTCATTTCCGCTCTTGAGCGTAAAATACCTGTTTTGCATACTATTTACGAGTGTGGCTATGTGGTCAGTTCCATGCAGTAGTAGGAAAAAGCAATTTCAGTGTTAAAATCTCA